GAAGTGTTTTTTGTTTTTTTTTAAAATAAATAGAAAAAAAATAAACAAGGATAGGAAACTGTGGTCCTCTCAATATCGGTCTGCAGCTTCCATCTGTCACCATTGACAATGTGGCTGGGCCAATGAAAGTTGCAGGCCAAAGATATTTGGAACAGCACACTCCCAACTCTTGCTGTAAAATATGGCTTAAACAGAAATACAGTTACTATTGGACTTGGATGGGCATCATCACAGATCTCTACTCAATGGGATGATGGCCTTCCTCCTGCTGCCTGCCCTCTGTCCATTCCCTTCCCTGAAAGATGAGATGGTGATGGGCAGGCTTATGGGGGGGGGGGGCTTAGTGCTTCTTGCTCTGGATCTCCAGGCATTAAGCTGTGAAAGGTAAATGTTTCCCCTTTGTAGGGAGCAGTGCTCATCTCTGTTATTAAGCCAAGGGAGCCAGCATTGGCAAAGATGACCCATGGTCATGTGGCCAGCATGACTGCATGGACCACTGTTACCTTTCCACCAAATTTGTACCTATTTATCTATTTTCACTTTTACATGCTTTCAAACTGCTAGGTTGGCAGAAGCTGGGACTATTGATGGAAGCTCACTCCATTACATGGTACTTGGGTCTTGAACTGTTGACTTGCTGATCTTGCAATTGTCAGAGTCAGCATCTTAACCACTGAGCCACCATGTCTAGCATTAATCTGTACCCTTGCTTAAATATTCAGCCTGCTTCTTCAGATGCATGTTTTTACCATTAGGTACTTTCATACTAGAATGATATTTTTTCATCTTTTTACCATTAGGGCCATTACATTTACATAATGTAAAGGCAACACAAGTGACATCATCAGAAATAGTTTTGCAATGGGATATTCCGGTGAGCTCATGCAATGCATCTTTTCATCACTACCTGCTTAGCATCTTCGATGGCAAAGCAGCAAAATGGGAAACATTTCCTTTTGGAAAAACTAACACTACTGCTATTATTAGAAGTGTTAAACCATACCATCAGTATCAACTATATCTTCAAAGTGTATCTGGACAGGGAACTCTAAGCTGCTATGAAGATCCTATGACAGTAATAACAGGTACATAATTTCAGTTTTGTAAAGTATGTACACTACTTGATTTAAATGCTCCTGCATGTAGGAGATACACATACACAGCGATACACATAAATGCTAGGCGAGCGTTCAAACTCATACTTCATGGAAGAGGATAATATCAGTGGCTAGTGGCTGCAGTGCAGCTTAAACAAGCTTGTAGTTTCACTGAGACTTAATTTGGTGACTAATGTTTTGTAATATTTGTACTGATTAAAATGTAAAGTTCTAGAGGTATATCCATGTTATTACAGAATATATATTTCTACAGATCTAATTCTCCTCCAAATTTAGCCAGCAAGGAATATGGGTGTTTAAAATAGTTCTTTTAAATAAAACTTGATATGTCTGAATTAATGTATAAACTTTTCATCAGTGACTGCATGTGTGTTTCTCAAGTGGGAGCAAAGTTTTAAAAGGAGACCCATGAAAAGGAGAGAAATTTGACTATCTAATATATAGCCTGCTTCAAGAAGTTACCAATACGTTTAGACCAAAATTACACACATAATATTTTGCATTTCACTGTCTGTACATTAATGTCATAACACTTAACTGCTCAGAGATATTATATATATGGAACATTATAAAATTTGGTTAATAAACAAATAACTACACTGCAGTATTTTTGTTGTTGTTATTGTTGCTTTATTTGCTTAGGTGTCAGCCCACCTACTGATGTATTCATCTATCCAGAGGATGTAGGAGAAGACCATGTAATTGTCTACTGGAAACTACCACAAGAGGGCCAGGAATCCTATATTCAAGCAAACACTACAACATTCAAGGACAAAAGCATGTCATTTTTTGTGAACAACACAGACAGACTTAAAATTGAACACTTAATTCCTGGAATGACTTATGAAATAGGAGTGGCCACTGTGACCAATGGAAATAAGAGTGATCTACATATTATTCAGTGCACACTTAGTAAGTTGTTTAAAAGATGGATAAATGTATTTTAAAAATCATTCAGAGTTAAAAATTCAACCTATCAAGGGGTTTCATTTCACTTTCAAGAGCTAACACATGTGTTATTTGTTACTAATAGCTGCTATCATTACCTACAGAGAGTGGTGGTAACCTTAACATTATTTTCAATGATAACAAGATTAAAGTTTGTATGAAAAGGGATCTTGTAGCACCAGAAAGATGCTGTTATCATGACCTTTTGTAGATGAGAGTCTGCTTCCTCATACTAATTTTCCAGGGGGTTGCAGACTGCCAGAAATAGTGCAAATTCAGTCCACTTTTAGGGTTAGGGTTAGTGCTAGGGAATCATGGGAATTGTTTTTGTTCTGAGACATTGAGCCTTCTCTGTCAGAGAGCTCTGGTGCCACAATAAAATACAGTTCCCATGATTTCCTAACCCTAACCCTAACCCTAAAAGTGGACTGAATTTGTACTATTTCTGGCTATATTTTTGAAGATTATAGTTTGTGAATTTTAGTAGATCATAATTCTTTTTTTTTTTTTTAAAAAAAAAAAAGCAGATTAACAGACTTAATTCAAGGCACATGCTGCCTCACAGTTATTCTTAGGTAACGTTACTGAGCTGAGTCTTATATTAGACTATCTGGTCCATGTTTAATATTTTCTTTTTCAGCTTTTTGTAAAATAATATTTTACTCTTGTTTTTTAATTACCATTCTAGAACCAAAACCAGTTCAAATTGTCATTCCGTATGAAGTTCACAATAATTCTGTGGTGCTGTTTGTTCAAATGCCTACTGCTGGAATTGCTGATGGCATACATGTTATAAGTAAAGGGGGCCCTAATCAATCATTGACTGTATCAACTGATGGAAAAGTAACTGTAGAAAACCTAATTCCGGGCACAGAATATGATTTCTTTGTTTCCACAACTAGTGGTTATATGTTAAGTTCTCCATATCATCTGCCAGCTGTTAGAACATGTAAGTTATATGACTGTATTTCTGTAGTTCAATATGAAATTGTTTTTGATATAAGTTGTCCAGCCCATATATTTGGGGGGTTATAACAAGATATCTTAAGTATCTGTATGGGCCATTTCTAATTAAATTATGTTGTTAAGAGTTGCTGACACACATTGTCATTGCTGATTTATTATTGTCTTACAGCTGTTAAATTTTTATTAATATCTATATGGTCTCTCATGAACATAATTAGTTTTGTACGACAAGGTCTTTAGTCTTGCTAGCCTCAAATGTGTAATATGATGTTTACTTGGAAGTACTACAGTTGAAACATGTTTGTGAAAGGTGTGTTAGTGCATGTTCTGTGTATAGTGATATTTGAGATCTTCAATGCAATCAGTGATTATCAGCAGAGAGATAGCATAGATGCTTATTCAGAGTATATGAACCTTAATACTTCATGTGCCTTGATACATTCATGCTACAGTGCAGAGAATGCCACCCACCCCCCAAAAGGAAGGGAAAATAAAGGGTTACATAGGTGTTTTGTGATTGCCTACCAATTTATTATTTCAGTAATAAATTTCCCTGCATCCTTGTATGTGAACTTTTTGACAATAAAATGGGAAGTAGATTGCACATTAAATAATTAGAAAAAGTATAATTACAGACATGGGAGGTTATGTAATTGTCTTTTAACTTATTATCATTGGGCTTTGTAGATATTGTTTTAATTCACAATGGACGTTATCACAC